CCAACTTTCGTTCCTTGTTCTTCCACCTTTGATGTTGCATATTGCAGTCTTTCTTCTGTTTCGTCAATCAGAGCTATGTCGTCCGCAAAGTCGAGATCAGATAATCGTCGCTGTTGGTAACGCGAGCTTCTTCGCCTCTCCAGTATCATCCCTAGGTCATTCTTATCCAGGGCGTTCTTGAGGACCCAGTCGATTAGGATGCCAAACAACAAGGGGGACCATACACAGCCCTGCCTGACTCCTGTTGTCACTTCAAACCAGTCTGTCATTTCACCCTCCACTTCCACGCAGCATTCTGAGCCATCGTAGGTATTCTTCATGATGTTAATGATCTTCCTTGGGAGCCCATAGGACTCTACTATCTTCCAGAGCGAGTCTCTCTGTACACTGTCAAAGGCTGCCTTGAAGTCAATGAAGTTTATCTTGACTGGGAGCTGGAATTCAAGGCATTTTTCGATGAGCTGGCGTAGAGCGAAGCACTGGTCAGGACAGGATCTTCCTTTCCGAAAACCAGCCTGGTTTTCTCTAAGACGTTCATCCATTGCGTCCCTTATTCTCAGTAGAATCAAGATGCAGAATACCTTCCCAGCTATGCTCAGAAGTGTGATACCGCGGTTATTGCCACAGATCGTGATGTCGCCTTTTTTAGGGATTTTGACAATGGTCCCTTTCTTCCAGTCTTTTGGAGCCTTTTCAGTTGACCAAACGACGATACATATTCGTAGCAACCAGTCAATCAACTTGTCTCCTCCAGCTTTAAGCATTTCYCCTGTGATCTTATCACATCCTGCCGCTTTGTTGTTTTTAAGCCTTTTAACTGCCCGAATTACATCTGCATCTGTTGTTGGTATCTGTGACTCATTACATTTGGATGTGGAAGTTTTAAGCTTTCTTGCTCTATTTTACAGGCTAACTAAGTACTTGACATGGTATTTAGCTTCTATTGCAATCAAGTCACCTGCAGACTGCTTTCTTTTCTTCGCTAGCTCGAGGTTCGTGTTGCTGAATAAGTCTCTGCAAGACTTAATAATAGATAATAATAATCTAAGCTTATATAGCAATTATATATTTATATATAGCTTTTTCTAAGCGCAAAAAAAGGTAAAATAAAAATACAAAGTTATAGTAGAATTACAGATCATAACTTTGTTTAAATAGTAACTGTAAGTTTTAAGAGCAGTTTTAAAGTTATCAAGTGAAGAAATGTATCTGACTGAAGAAGGTAGTTGTGGGCATCTTTCGGAAAATGCGCCTGGTAGTTAGTCCGTGGTTGGGTGACAGCGCCTGCTSTKKYTWAACAGTCCGATGCGGGAGGGCAGCTCTTGTTATAGTTGCTGCAAGTGAAATCAGCGCCAGCTTCTAGGGGTACTGCCTCTGGTGCTGCATTCTCGTCTGCGTTCTCTCTTCTCCTTCCACTGGTCTCTCTCTTTCTCTCACTTAGCTGTAAACTTGTCTTCACTCTGAGTCTCCTGKCCTCTCGATCAGCAGCCGTGGATTCAAGTTTGGCAGGGTGGAAATTCGGCCATCCTGCATGCATATGACATGACCAAGCCTGGCAGAAGAGGACAAACATGCTCGGGATATTTGCTTTTGCAAGCACATGTYTGTTTGRATRCGGTCCYGTCAGGTAATGCCCAGGATCCTTCTGAGACTGCACAGGCGAAAGGCATTTAGTCTACGCTCTTAACGGGTGTACATGACTAACTGCCGTAGAACAGCATGCTCAGAAGGCAGGCCTGGTACACTCGCATCTTAGTGTCTGTGGTTAGCRTGRTGTTGSYCCACACCCTTTTGGTCAGGCGGGACATTGCTGTTGCTTCTTTTCCAATGTGAGTGTTGAGCTCGGTATCCAATGAGAGTTTGCTCAAYAGGGTGRAGCCCAGATATGTTAAGTCATCCATCACTTCCAGAGTGTGGTCATCAATCGATATGCGGGGGATGTTGCTAACGTCTTGGCTCATTATGTTAGTCTTCTTTGTGAAGATGAGCCGTCGTRCGTGACAGAGTCTCTCATGTCTTCATGGAAGGAGTCTATCATCTTTAGAGGCTTGGGAGGGTACTCCTGCTGACCAGATCAAACGCCTTTGTCAGGTCAATGAATGCGAGGTAGAGTGGTTGTCTCTRCTCGCTGCACTTCTCCTGTAACTACCACAGTGAGAATATCATGTCGACAGTCGACCTTCCTCCTCTGAAGCCGCACTGTGCCTCCGGGTATACGCGTTCTGCGAGTGACTGCAATCTGTTTAGGACCACACATGCGAAGACCTTGCCGACGATGCTGATCAGGGAGATACCGCAGTAGTTGTTACAGTCACTGCTGTCTCTCTTGTTCTTATACAGCTTTGTGATATTGCCGTCTTGCATGTCCTGAGGGAACGACCCTTCCACCCAGCACTGAAGCAGGAGTCGGTACCGTYTTCTTACCAACTCCTTCTTACCAGCCTTGATGACTTCAGGTGGGATGCCGTCACTATCTGGGGCCTTGCTGTTGGCAAGGGTGTTGAAGGCTTTGCTGAGCTCCTCAAGGGAGGGTGGGTCATCAAGTTCGCCCATTACTGGTAGGGGGTTGATGCTCTCAACTGCTATGTCGGTAACGATGTTTTCCTGGGAGTACAGCTGTTGGTACTGCTCCGTCCATCTCTCCATCTGCTTTCCATGATGTCACCTTAGACAGCTTCAGCGGCGCAATCTTCACAGCGATTGGGCCGAACGCTTTCTTCAGACCCTCGTACATTCCATGGACGTTGCCACTGTCAGCGGAGAATTGTTATAAGGTCAGCCAGTAAGCATTGGCGCAGCGTCGAGTGGTCTTCTGGGCATCGTTTCTGGCGGGTCTCTCTTGAGCAGTGCAGCACGCTTGTCTTGATCAAAAATAGGAGCCAAAGAGAATTAGAAGAAGTCGATAAGTAGAGGTGTTATGTGGTCACGTTTTCTAGAAAGCATGATAAGACGGGCACAGTCATTTTGGAAAGCTTGTAGACGATCCATTAGATATTTAGGGAGGCCATATAGTAGAGAATTGCAATTGTAAAGTTTTGATAATATGAACGAGAGTACAAGGATTTCTGTGGATTGAACTGACAGGAAGTTTCTGATTAGAAATTCAGTTTTGTCCTTGTTCAGTTTAAGTTTGTTGAGAGTCATCCATAGATCAATATCACAGAGACAAGCTTTAATATTGTTTAAGGYAACATCTAGAGCGTCATCATCATTGCAGGAGAAAGGAATGTAGATTCGAGTGTATGAATGTAGAAATGAAATKACATCTTACGCTTTYGGAGAATATAAGCGACAGGAGAAGTGTAGAGGACAATTGTAGAGAACCAGGCCCAGGACGGAGCCTTGAGGRACACYACAACTAAGCGGAAGAGAGACATCATCTATAGATACAAATTGATAGCGAATAGAGAGATACGATTTTAACCATTGAAGAGCACTTCCACAGACACCAAACTTATAACGAAGTCGATTTAGAAGAATTGAGTGATCGATGGTATCAAAGGTAGCAGAGATATCGAGGAACACCATAGCAACGCATTTTCGTCTGTCAAGTGATTGAATAATATCATTAGAAATCCTAAGAAGTGCAAGCGTATGTACAATACACAACATATACAAGTACGTCAAAAAATCAAGGGAAAACCCCTGAGTATGCAATTTAATATTGAAACCAGTGTTTTTGTTGCAGGATTGCAGGAGATGTAAATTTTACGAAAATGAGTCAAGGCAGTTTAAAAAACAGATAAACACCCTTCAAACAAAAGTTAAAAGACAGCAAGAACGTTTGAACAAAACAGATAAGGAATTAATACAACATGCACGGCCACCTATGAAATCTTTCGGTACATTTATGACTTTGAAATTATATTAGAGTTGTAATATGTTCTAATCTTATTATTTTTATACAAGGAATTCAAACCGATGAGAAATGTACAGAAGAAATTGAATTTGATGAAGAAACAGACGAAGACAATGATATTGAGATGGAAGAAACAGAGTCTCATGAAGATCCCACATGGTATCCAGTTGGAAATATGTCAGATGTTCCAAACAAGAACACCATTGATCATGAGTATCAACAGTTGAACAAGGATACAGGGAAAGATAATCTCAATACAAGATATTTGCAAAATACTTATACCCATATTATTTCCCACCTATAAAAGGCACAGGCTGAGGAGACTTRGGATTCAAAGATCATTTAGAAATATCAGATAAATAAATTCTAAATGTAATTTAAAATTTCAGGTTGGATTTGAAGGGAAAAGACATAAGAGAAGAACCCAAAGGACTGGTATTTCTATCAAAACTTCTGCTTTTGTTCAAATTTTGCCATTTCTGTTTTGCAACGGGTCCAAAATTGGAGGTCTCACAGACTGGAACAATGCTGACTATTGACAGCACTTGTCAGAAGTGCAAGCAGACTTTCACTTGGACCAGCCAGCCATTACTTCTCAAATTTCCTGCTGGGAACTTGCTCTTAAGTTTTGCTATCCTTACAGCTGGTGCTTCAGTCAGAAAAATTATGATGGTATTGCGGCACATCAATGTTCTTGTGTACAATGAATGCACCTATTACTATCATCAAAAACACATTCTTATACCAAAAATTGTGAAATTCTGGAGGGAATACCAGGCAAAGAAATTAGAGGAATTGAGAGGAAAGGAGGTGGTTATAGCTTGTGATGGGCGCCATAACAGTATGGGCCACTCAGCAAAGTTTGGGACTTATTCTATATACTGCTGCACCATTGGTCTAATTATTCATCTTGTTGTTGTACAGGTTTGTTCCCACTATCAAAACATGTTATAACTTTCATTTTTTGATTGATTGACTATGATCATAGAATGATATATACGTGCATACTAATTTCTATAAAATAATGTGCTTTAGGCAAATGAAGCTGGGAGCAGTACTGGCATGGAGTTTGTTGGACATCAGAGAGCTATAGAATTTCTACTTACAACTGGAATGGTTATTACAGCATTTGTCTCAGATCGTCATACAGCTATAGCAAAGTGGATGAGGGAGGAGCTTCCAAGCCGCTGTAGGGCTCTAGGCAAACCTGTTATTACTCACTATTTTGATCTTTGGCATATTGGCAAAAGTAAGTACAATTTAGTGGTCTATGCATTGAAAAATAATATTCAAGTGTTGCTTCCCTTGTACATTGTATTTGGCTCTTTCATTGACTATTGAATGATATAATGGCACCTAGAGAAAGTTAGAAATCTAAACTCATCAAGTGTAATAAATATCTTTTTAATATAGCTAAATATAGTTTTTATTGTAATACCAATAATTATAGGAATTAATAATCTTATTGCTATAATTTCTATGTGAATCATGACCTAATTTTGTGTCATTGTTTATATTCTAAAGAGATTCAGAAAATCCTTATTAAACTGTCCAAGCTTAGTGGATGCGAGCTGATTGGAAGATGACGCAAAGCCTGTGTCCGCCACTTTTATTGGGCAGTCACTTCTACTCAAGGTTTGCTGGGGGAAGTCAAAGTGGCAAAATTTCATGCTTTTTTTTCGCATGTACTGGACAAACACAAAAACCTTCCTAACAAACACTTCAATGGTTGTGCACATGGTGCTATAACCAAGCCCAAGGTTTGGTTTACAAAAGGTATGTAAATATCAAAATGTATCATAGTGTAAAATGAAATAAAATTTCTTTTATTCCATTAGAGGTAAAGTCTAGCAATGGTATTGTTTTTCAATATGTATAGGTTCAGAAGCCTATGAGAAGATGTACACAGCCCTCACTGATAAAAAGCTTACAAATGCAATAAAAAAGGCATCTTCAAAGGGACAGACAAGTTGCTTGGAATCATATCATGCCGTAATCAACCATTTTGCTCCAAAGATGTTACCCTACTCCTATCTTGGTATGCTGGCAAGGTATAAAAACTTATTAGGAAAGAGTTTTGGGTGTTCAGCTTAATGTAATAATTAGTCTATATAAATAGTCTATTTCTATTTTTGTAAAGGACAATAGTAGCTGCACTACATTTTAATTACAACTTGAGGAGAGATCCCAAAGTAGATGCCAATGGAAAGACAAAACTAAAAGTTCACTACCCAAAATACAAATATGGTGAGGGAACAGTAAAAGAATGTAAAAACTCCTCAGAACTTTGGTAAGTATGTGGACTAGAAAAATAAAAAAAATAAAAATCTGAGAAATGAAACAAAAATATTTGAAATCAATAAATGCAATAATATCAACAGATTACATTGCTGAACTTTATAAGTCAATGACAAAGACTCCTAGGCAAGAACTTAACGTTATTAGAGATGAACTTATGCAACAGACTCCTGAGGCCATGCACACAATGTATGAAAGACAATCTGCTGATGAAGCAAAGAAAAAGTACACAGAAAGAAAAGCAATGGGGACAACAATTGTTCCACCAACATGCACAGGTAATAAGGATATAACAAGTTCAATGTATGATATGTTACAGTTAAACAAATTCTATATGTACTCTGTGGTTCTGGAAGCACAAAGAAAATAAATGCAAAATAAATAGTAAAACTTTTGTGAACCTTTGAATTTTTTAGACTGCTTGTGATTATTTTTGTCATTCATTGCAAGCAACTTCTACTTACAGAGGCAGAGGTACAAGCAATGTTGACAGGTGCATCTGCTGCACCACAAAGAAGACAACGGAATCCAAACAGAGCTGCACCAATCTGCAGAACATGTAAAAAGCCGAAACGGGGACACCCAAGGATATGCCCAGACAAAGAAACTGAATAAAAAAACATGAAATGTTCAATAATATAAAAAAGAAAAGAGAGTTTTGACTAAATTTTCTTCCAAGTTTACAATGTTTGGTATACTAGTATTTGACCCTAGTACAATTAGTTATTACAATATTGAATACATCAAGAAAATAAACTTCTATTATTATATTATTATATTTACAACACATGTTCATCTCAGTCTTCAGTTTCTTCTATAGCATCTTCCTCTTCTTGAAATCCTTTATAATTTCCATCCTGGCTTGGAAATTCTGACCTGATTGCACTATAGATGCAAGATGGCAGCGGTTTCCTCACATCATTTCCCATATATCCCCATATAAACCGAAAGACTTGACGGTATGCAACAGATCGAAGAAACCTAAACACACAAAAAATAGAAGTAAGTACTTTAGTAAAATACACACTTTATAGTTGTTGATATACATGTGGGTATGCATCAATCTAATAATATTAATTTTGGAAATTCTAGCTATAGTTTTAAGATGGATGTGTAAGAGGCATGTACATGTACAGTATGTTTCTAGCTAGAATATATAAAAGATGTTATTTGAGTTTTGAAAACTATCAGCAGCATATCATACTAGCATTTCAAAGGCTGCAAACTKACTGTGACTCAGACTTGTTCYCATTTTTATACAGTGTAACATAACTCTTTTTGTTTTTTGTCTTGAGGCCGATAGCAGCAACTTCCAACACATATTTGTCCAGACAGACATTTCKAAATCCTGGATGGTCCCTAATGCATGCTTGATCGTCAAGCTCAGCTTCTTCAATTTTATCGATGCATCTCAGTGTGATGTATTGCCTTAGTTACCAGGGGACTGGTACGAGGTTGCTTGTCAGATTAAAGCTGGTTTTAAGCAGTTGTGCATTTGCTTCGGTCTATCTCCGTACATTACACTCAGCATCTCGTGGCAACAAATGCATTCCTCTGGTTTAAAGACCAGGCTGAGAGAGCAATTTGAGCAAGAACACCTGAAGACAAATTATTACTCTGTTAGTATTCGCATTGCATGAAATAATACGAAGACATGACTATATATATTCGCTGTTTAAAGCTAAACAAACGTAACAACTTGTTTCTTGATCAATCGATAAACAATTCTCATAGNCAAGTAGCTAGTCGTCCAGGGTCCAATTCTGGTTTCACATTGGAACCAGGAGATCATGTATACACGAAAAACTACTCCAAGTATGGACCTCCTAACATACCAGCTAGAGTTGAGAAACAAACAGGCCCAGTATCTTGCACACTTGCAACAGAGCAGGGTCAGCACCTACGAAGACATTTCAGTCAGGTCTTCAAGCAACTTCCACCAGAGTCACCATTTGAAAAGGTTGGGGAGGATCCGGAGGAGCCTCAAAGTGGAGCTTATCCTGATCTTACATCAAATGAAGCACCTAGCATTCAGAAGGAGGAAGAAAGGAAAAGTACGCCACCAAGTCCTCTGGCACTGAGAAGATCCGGAAGAGAACGGAAGCCAGTGGACCGGCTTAACTTATAAACAAGGACACAGTTTTGTTAAAAAAAGACTTTAATATTGTTGTCATAGTTTCAGTACTTTATTAACTGATTAACATTTAGCTTTTCGTCTTCAGTTAACGAATGTAAAATTGTTATTTTTCATGTATCTTACTTCTCACTGGGCGGGGAGGGGTGTGATGTATTGCCTTAGTTACCAGGGGACTGGTACGAGGTTGCTTGTCAGATTAAAGCTGGTTTTAAGCAGTTGTGCATTTGCTTCGGTCTATCTCCGTACATTACACTCAGCATCTCGTGGCAACAAATGCATTCCTCTGGTTTAAAGACCAGGCTGAGAGAGCAATTTGAGCAAGAACACCTGAAGACAAATTATTACTCTGTTAGTATTCGCATTGCATGAAATAATACGAAGACATGACTATATATATTCGCTGTTTAAAGCTAAACAAACGTAACAACTTGTTTCTTGATCAATCGATAAACAATTCTCATAGATGTTAAGTTATTGTTATGTTCGATCTTTGGCGTCATATCTTGAAAGAGTCGCTCTTAAATGACTGTTTTCCTACATCAGAATATTTTATCGGAATGCTCTTTGTGCAAAACGACTTACCAGCTTTGAACATTAACTTCATTTGAGAATCTCTTCCGGAATTCTTCTTCTTCGTCCTCCTCTAAGGCTACTTATTCGAGGTACTCCGATACTTCTTCTTCGTTGGCAAGGGGCTCCAAACTATCGTCGTACACGTTTGCTACTTGTTGATCTCCATTTTCTTGAGGCAGTTCGCATGTCGATAGGTACGACGAGTCGGAAGATAAGCTTGAAGACAATTCACTTTCGCTAGAGGACATTTTGAAAGATTTCCTAACTACAATTGTAGCGTGGAGAACGTGTAGAACTACTGTAAACTAAACAAGGCTACCAGGCGAGCTTGGTAAGATGACGTCACGCCAGAATACCGCTGTACTAAAAATTTYATTCGAGCCATCCGGCTCAAGTGAGAAAATACGATCTTTAAAAATAATATAACTCGATAACCCTTTACTAAAAAAGGACAATTTTTGGTACACTAAGAGTTTAGATAACATAGAATCAGACAAAATTTAAAAAGATGCCGTTCAACTTTGTCAAAATTCAGTCCAAGTCCACCTTTAAGTTTGTTGAGAGTCATTCATAGATCAATATCACAGTAGCCTGATTTTCAGACGGGGCCTGGGTCCTACGCTTCACTCCACCCCCACTTCCCGTCTGATGGGCTTCACTGGATACCGTGTTCTCGATYGTTCGATTTAAGCCAATCACAAAACACCTTAGCTTTTTCGCAAAGTAAGGAATGTGTGGAATGCAAAACAAAATGGCGAACGACATAGATGGATGTATTTCAAAGTGTAGCGAAGTTTTCAACATTTCTGAGCTCTTTCCTGAGCAAAAGAAGGCCTTGAAATGTTTTGTTGGAGGAGAGGATGTTTTTC